CCCGGGGCGTGGGCACGTCGGGCCCGGCAGAGCCGGCTGGCCGCAGCCGCTCTGACCCGGGGGTGTTTCCTAGAAAGTGCCTGTCACTCCCTAGCGGTTTATTTAATTATTTATCCCTCAATACTCATCTGAAAGCTCTTCATTATTTATTTGGAATTAATACTATAGGGCTTGGTTAGAGGGGACCAGATTTTTTTTTTAACAGTTCTGGAATTATTTCCCCATCCCCTCCTTCCCCTTAGTATGTTGTACTGTTGTCCTACTATCACTTTTTTTTTCCCTATTTGTTTGCAGTTCATCTGTTAACAGCTGTTATGGTTAAACCCCAGTATGGGTAAAAAAGTGAAGTACCAAAAATTAAAGACTTCAGCAGTCACAATGCCCCTGATTTTATCTATAAATCTTTAATTTCAATGCTTAAAAAAACTAGCCTTCAAAGCTTGGCCTGTGAAGCCCAGGATGCCCAGAGACTCCCTTGGACGCTGCTGCCTTGTGTCTGTGCGTGTCCTGCACCTTCTCCTCTGCCATCCTGGGAGCCGGGCGGGAGCTGAGGCAGCAGGAGAGGCTGCAGCAACAGCAGCTGAGGAGCAGGTGCCATTTTATGGCCCTCTGCTTGCAGAAATGCCCCTGGATGCGCCCTGGTTACACCAGCCTGGTGCAGCCCTTGTCATCCCCGCATGGCCCAGACGTGCCACAAGGTCCAGCAGAAAGGGAACACACAGCGGCCGGCGGAGCCCTCGAATGCAGCGTACAAAGCGTCAATGACAACCTCATTACACGTAAGCTCATGCATGCTCATATGAAAAGCTTGACGCTGGGGAATGCTGCCTAATAAAATGAACAGTACACAATGCTGTAAAAAAATCAAAATATTTCAATATATTATGCTTTCACATTTGTCCCTTTTCTACTGAAATCGTTAATACTTTACAAGTTTAAGCATTTCCCTCCCTCATGAATTATTTTGTGATCCTGATATACACACAGTTCAGCTGTCACTCACAGATTGTTACTTGACAGTTCAAAGATGTTTTTACAGCCACTTGTGGGAAAAATTATGCTGATAACTGGTATTTTCAAGACATTTGAAATGGGGAAAAAAATCAATCTTTAGTGTCTAAGTTGGCACAATTCATTTACCAGGTCTTGTGGCAAAAATTTGGGGTATTTTATCTCTGATGTATTACAGTGCAATGTATAAATAGTTTAGTGAAATGCAGCTATCAAAATCCAGGTTTAGTGTGTTTTGCTATAGCAATACACTGAAAAATCAGCGTATTGTGGGCTGCTCTGTTCACTGGTGGCCACCGACAGAACTAGAGGAAACGTCTGGAAACTGAAGTATCAAAAGTTCCCCAGGAACTTAAGGAAAAATCTCTTAACAGTGAGGGTGCCAGAGCACTGGAACAGGCTGCCCAGAGAGGTTGTGGAGTCTCCTTCTCTGGAGATCTTCAAGACCCGCTTGGACACAGTCCTGTGCCACGTGCTCTAGGTGACCCTGCGTGTGCAGGGGGGTTGGACTAGATCTCTAGAGGTTCCTTCCAACCCTAAGCATTCTGTGATTCTATGCAATATTTTATTCCTCTCTCTCAAAAACAGCTAATCAGAGTGGTGAAATAATTTAGGACAGATATTCAACTAGGTTGTTTTTTAAAAAAGAAGTTTTTTCTCGCTAAAATACAGACCCTCAAAAATTCAGTAAAAAAGAAAAAAAAGTTAAAAGAACCCTCCTATTTTCTTACCTAAGTCAAACAGCTGTTAATAGGTAATACAGGGCTCCCACAGTACAGAGGCTTTCTACCAGAAATAATCCCAGGATTGGTGCTGCTCAGTATTTTCATTAATTATAAAGAATAAATTTTTTTTTAATCTGTGTTTGATCCAAAGCAGAACAGATTTGCAAGTATTTTGGAGGGCAAAATCAGAATCCCAGGCTACCTTAAGAATGCAGATAAAGAGCTGAAATAAATAGAACACAATTTCAGTAAGGTTGTCTGGAAAGTATTGCAGTTTTCTAGAAATAACCACCTGCAGAAATACGGGTTTACTGTAGAAGTAGTAGTAGTGCTGAGTCAAAGTAGCAGCAAGGAAGTTGTGGGGGGTTGGTTGTTTGTCTCCCCAAGATACCAGGGAAGCTTTGATAGTCCTAGAACTCTATATAGTGACACAGATAGTTGTTTACTGTAGAAGTAGTAGTAGTGCTGGGTCCAAGTAGGGGGAGGAAGTTGTCGGGGCTTGGTTGTTTGTCTCCCCAAGATACAAGGGAAGCTTTTGATAGTCCTAGAAATCTATATAGTGACAGAGATGGTCTAGGAAGGCTATGGAATCTCCTATCAAAAAAATGGTAGGAAAAAAAACAATTATACAGAAAACTACTAGGACTGACCGGGTTGGAACTGATTTGGGACCTGAAGACCATCACAGATAGCGTGATAGATTCTTGTACTTTGGGCCAGCATAAAACAGTGCTCCAAAGTATCTACTCAAAATTGTATCTTGAAATTTGAGTCATTAGTATGGTAAAGTTAAAACCTTTACCTGGTTGCTAGTACTGCCATAGCAAGCAGAGAAAAACAGTTCTAGTGGAGTGTGTGTTCCTGTGTGGTTACATTTTATGCTGTTGAATTTTATGATTCAGAGCTCCTCACCACCACCAGTATCCTCATATTCCAAACAGCTAAACTTAATGTTCCGTCTTCTCCGATGCAACCAGCTTCTTCTGCAGCTTTGTTTTTTTCCTGTTCCCATCAAGTGGCACGAAAGTTTAATTAAGACAAGAGAAACATACGGCCAACAGCTTGCTTGGACAAGTACAAGTGACAAAATAACTATTTTGGAATTGCCAGGTATTTTTTGAAGCCTTGGAGACATAAAAATAGAGGACTTTTTACAAACTGAATGACTAAAGATATTTCTATATTCAAAATTCTTTGGAAATGAGAGAATAATAATACTCTAAATAACTTCAAAACTTTCACTAAGTCTCAATTTTGGTTTGTTTTTAAAACTCTAACTGTACCCAGGTCTTTATACAATACTACTCTACAAACTGTATACATTGGAAAAAAGGAGGTCCAAAAAGTAAATCACAGTATTACTTCATTGACAATGATTTTGTAAAAAGATCAGCTTACACAAGAAGGATCAAAGTCAAAGCTTTATTAAGTTCCTTCTTTAAACAGGCTTCATTTAATCTCCCTTTTGCATTTGTCTTATCTAAGGCTACTTAAATACTTTTGTTTTACAGGGATTTTCAGTCTTCAGAACCATTCCAAGCAGCGTTAGCAGTACACAGAAACAATATGCTTTAACTTTCACCAAGTTCTATTCCTGCTTCATAGGGTCTGTGGAAAAGACTGTCAGTAGTTGCAGTTCAGGAAGTACCGTTTTTGCACAGACCCTGAGAGGGAGACAGGTTTCACCAGAGTTTAAGCCTGATGTGCTCTAGCAACATCTCACAATTGGCCACAATTTACCAGTATGATTGGTGTAACTATTGTGCATTATCTATTTCAAAAAGGGATCAGATTTTCAATTTTCAGCTAATGTAGGTCTAATTAAGGCTATTCTGGTATATGCGATATTAAAATACTATCTGGGAGTCCTTTTCATGAAATCCCATCAGAATTAACATTTTCAAAAATGAAAACATTTAAGATTGGCGTTTGAGTTGCAGTGCTGATGCAGCGGTTGGTTCAGTGTTTTCTTGTCTTCAGGAGCTTCATCACGTCAGAATAGTGTCATCTATCTGTTCATCAGAGTCAGCCTGGCTCGCCAGCTTCCTCAGAGATCTCCGGCAGCTTTCACCGAGAAGCTCCAAGCTGGCAGCATCTAGAATCCTGGAAACAGACTGTGGAAGGAAGTTACACCAGTTACCAAGGTCCTCATGATACATCATTCAAAACAGAACAATTTAAATGCTTACAGAGTATATTTAACTGCAAACTTTCAAACGTACCAAACTCTTTCTTCTAGCTTCTTGATTTCAGATATTAGGAACTATACAAAAATATAGCTAAGACTTAAGAGAGGGGTCTGGGTATTGACCTACTATGGAGCATCCCATCCATCCTAAGATGCTGTAGCACCACTAATGCTGCAACAAGATCATACAGCTTAGTAAGAAACGAACAATGAGGGTTTGGATGCAAGCAGAAACCCCTCCAGCCACACGCAGAGCAGCCTTCCCCCGGTGGCTGCACGTTCTGACTCATACCTGGAGCACCTCTTCGCCCTCTCTCATCTTCAGGAGATTAACAATGGCTTGATCGCTGTAGGCTCTTACACTGGTGTTTTTGTCCTTTGTGTTGTCCAGAAGTGCCTTCAGGATTGGTTTAATTGTCAGAGGATCCAGGGAGGCAAGATGATTTTTATTTGCCCACCAGATCATCTTCTCTGCAACTAGTTTTATGTCACTGGATGAGTTCTGGAGACACTGCAGGACACAGAAATGGTCAAATTCAGCTCTAAGCAAGGACAGGTAATTTGCTTTAACCGTGTTAAACTAATCCAAGAAACCTAAGCACCTTGCAAGTGTACAACAGACAGACATTATCAACAAGTTCAACTAAGCGTCTGGATAATAGTAAGAGGATCACACTTTGAAAACAAGATACTTTTTCAAATGAAAACTCTTGAAAATGTGGTTGTTGACAGGGTCACATGCTTTCCTTTCAACCCTCTCAGGAAATGATAATGACCACTAATGCAGCCAAAGCTGGCAGCGTCAGCACTCCTGTAAAATACCCTCAGGTCACCAGCGATGGCCAAGTCAATCTCCAATTGATGTGCAAGGTGCATTTCCACAATGTATTTTAAATTAAAAATGTACGGCTTATTAATTTTGATTTAAGCTCAATACATTTAAATAAAAGCTAATATTACTCTGCATTTATACTGTGCTAATGCTATTGGTTTGTGTAACATTTACAATTATTTTATATTCTAACATTATAGAAATTAATATATGACTAAGATTTTAAATAAAAAGTCTGATTTCAAGAACTATGGCCTGCATCTCACCACTTTGCATGTTTTACGGATTTTATGGAAAGAAAATAAATTAGAACAACAGAAAGGAAAAGGTACTTTTCAGTAGATTATTATAAATAGGTGTGGATTGAAAAAAAGAAGTATGAATTTCAATGCTGTCCTCCCAGTCTTTAGAAACTACTCCCTTCCACAAACATGGAAGTTGCAAAGTACTGCGGCAAAACCAGGGAAAGTAGGAGTTGCTATTTGATGTGATTACAGCAAAAACACTTCCACCCTTAGCAGTGTAAGGAAACAAACTGCTAAAGAATCTCCCACTATTTTTCGCTATTTCTCTGCCATCTATTTGTTACAGTGAAGAAAAAAATGAATTCATAAGGAACAACACTGAGGTCTATCACAGAAAGATCAAAGGTCACATTTCCATACTGCAGCAAGGATCATGCTATATTGACAGCTGCAAAGCAGGCTGGTAAAGTTATTGTGACTGTACTTTGCCTTAAAAAAAAAAAATAGACTTCCAAGCCTCGAGAGATTTAGAGCTTCCCAGAAGGTGCTCAAGGTTTCCATTTTGAATGAAGTGTGGTGCAGAAACTTTGGAAAGAAAGCCACCCATGAGTTGGTTTGAACAAAAGTGATATTACACAGGTTAAGAGCAAGTGAGAACAGTTGCAGGTAGCATAAATAATCTTACCTTAATAAAGAGGTTGGAGAGCTTGGGGGGAAGGCTCTCTCCCGCTTCCATGTGGTAATTCATAAGAAAGCCCATCCCCCTGATACCACTAACTGCAATTGGAATCTGTAGCATGAAGACACAACTTTATTAAAGCAGAGTTCAATAGTCTTTTGATTAGACCCACAGTCACATGAAATGGTGATCTTTGCAGAAGGCTGAATAGATCTTTCAAACAACTGTAGCATGCAATGCAAGAAAACTCTATAATCTAATGTTATTGGGTAACATGATGAAAAAATAGTAATGTGGCTGGCAACAACACAGAATGCGGTGGCGGGACCCACAGACCCCAAAAGTTCCATGCATTATACCAAATTATTCATTGATATGAATAGCAATTCAAAGATTTAAAAACCTCCCCCCTAAAATGAAAAATGTGCACGGGTCATAAACCTGGCCTGTAACTAAGCACTGTGACTAACAGGACAACAAAAGTGTAATTTCCTCCCAGCGAAGGCTACTCCACAACTGAAATAATCTTCATCTCCCCAGAGAATTTGGGGAAGAATCAGGACGGGCCAACAATCTGACTGCACAATTGCATCTATCATGGGACAATCTTCAGATTGTGCTTAGAGACTTTTGCTCTGTTTTGTTCGGTAACAGCAGCAAACCTGCTGCTGCTCCTTCAAAAACTGCTCCCAACAAGCTCTTGCAGCAGAACTCGTGAGCTCCCGTGCGGCACTTACTCTGTCAGCAGTGGCGTTACTGAGGATCATCTCCTGAACGTTGTTGTAGTACCTGGGGGCACACAGTCTGCTGGGAGCCACGTTCACAGCCACTGAGAGTGCCAGGCTTCGTCCGTGTCTCACCATCCAGTCAATTCCAGACACATCCGCTACAAAAGGACAGCAACAACAGTGAGGCTCCTCTATCGTTCCACCTGACCTAAGAAAGCTCTCTCCAGTTTGTGAATTCACTCCTATAAAATGAAACAAGCAGCATCTAAAGCAATGCCTCGTTTCTTCCACTCCTCTCCAAGAAAAGCCATAGAAACAGTGCTGAAATGCAACACCTCTACCAGACAGGAAAGCCTTCTGGGCACACACGGAAATTTGACAAACAAGTGACTCAACCCAAGTATTTTTGATGGTGTCAGTCACACATAATTAGGCCCACATCACTTAGTGCACGAAGGAGCTTGCTATCAGCATTACACAAGACTGTAATAAAAGTCTGTATCACCTGTAATTTGAAACCATCTAAGAAATTCCCTTTTTAATTTCAGGACAGTGTCACAGCTCTCTGCTCTAGGAACTGCTACAAGTTCCTACAGACATCATGCTTTTGTTTAACTGGGTTTTATTTGCTCTGAATGCATCTGATGTGATCAGTGACAAGATTAATAAGATGAAATCGCCATCAAGAAAGGAGAATTGCGCTCTCCTCTCCATCCAGCTTGAACCTCCTGTTGTTTCCCATCTTCTGTGTCAATACTAGCAATTATTTAGCCATGCTGGTACCTTCATCAACTCACCTGAAAACAAATCCAGGGAAAAAACAATTTTTAAAAAGCCCAAATTACAACCATGACCTTGTATGCAACCATGTATCTGAATGTACAAAGAAACAGCCATAAACAAAGAACGTACAAGAAAATCTGCAGTAGAGACTCACATTTATAATAAAAGGACAAAAACCTAACCAGACACAAAGCTTTTCTGAACTAAGTGCTGAAAAGGTATTTTCTCTTACATTTCAGCTTCCATTCCATTCGTGATAAATGGCTTCACCTACCCAGTAAGTGTTGCTGGAGAACAGTATTGAGCTCCTCTTCGGACAGGAACGCACACAGTTCTGCCAAGCAGCCAGCTGAGGCCATGCGGGTGGCATCCTGACGAGGAAAGGAGACATGAGTAAGACTGGTTCAACTCAGTATCTATGAGCCAGCAAGGAGAGTGAGTAACAGAAGACCACATGAAATCAGAAGAAGGAAATAAATAGCAGCAGACATCCTTTCACTCCTATCGCCTATGGATTTCTATCAGTTCACAAGGTTTCTGGTATATAACGGATCCTAAAGTCAAACCCACGGTCAATAAAAGCCAGGGACTGCCAGTTCTTACATTAATTCTCATGTGTCATATGGAAAGTCATAAAGATGAAAGTGTGCATTCTGAGACATGTAAAGTTCTGATACATAATCCAGGCAATAAGTGTCACTTCTAGCCATCTCTCAATGAGCTTGTACTTGCGAAAAGCTCATCCTCTTTTTACCCCCAAACTTCCATTGTTTTCCTTTGCTTTGCCTATTCAACTATCCCACCTGTACCTTTCCACCCTGAAACTTGCAGTGCAATGGGAATTCTTCAAACTTTCTATTTCTAACACGCCAGTAGCTGCATGTCTATGTTGAATAAATTAAAATATAAGAAAGAAATTATATGGTTAATTTTGATTCCACATACAATATCTGCCATACACAGAAGATCTGACACTAAAGCTGGAGAGTTTCTTGTTCAATGGCAAAAAAATCTGGCATTAGTTAAAAAAATTCTCACACTTAGATGATAAACCCCACTTGAGAAGCTGCAAATAACTGTGTGTGCACATGGCAAAGGTACTGCAGGATTTCTCCAAGATAAGAAGCAAATCGCTACTTTAGAGCTACTGAGGAACTGCAGGTCAAACCCACAAACACAGTTGCTAAGGAAACATTAATTTTGCAGATTTTTCAGTTACGAGTTGATTGGCTGGGGATCAAATTGTTGTACCTGGCTCCCAGCTAACACACTGAGGGCTCCAAGAAGGTGAATTTTACAAACTGAATTCAGTTTAGTGAATAGTGCCCAGTTACATGTTTCTTTACACAAGTTTCTCTCCATTGCATGAACTCTCCAAGAAGCTATTTTAGAAAGCAATTTTATTAGAAAGTTCAGATTTTAGTTTAAAAGGAGGGAGAGTGTAGAGCAGGGATCCCTTGCAGCTGTCTGCAGCAATACCTCATCATGGCCCAGCATCCCTAGAAGCACCGTGCTGATATTGTTCCTGATTGCAGCATCTACTTTTGCACCAGCTCCTCGTGTTACAAACCGCAGGGCTTGCAGCATTGTGTCCCTAGGAGTGATCAGAAAGTACAGTCAGAGATTGTCTCTTCCCTCATCCCAACGAGGACATGGAGCTCTGTACACTTCTAACTACTTCCTACACAATAGTTACATTAACATGTCTCAAACCTCTACACTGATAAACACTATGAGGGGATATTTCCACATTTGTATACTTTGCCTCTTTCTGAAAAAAAAAAAAAAAAAAAAAAGATATTTTCTGACCACTCTAAAAAGAAATATTTTCTCCATCAGAAAGTTAATTTCTTAAGGATCATTTAAGATGCAAGAATAACTGTATTATTTCAGGTCAGGCTGCCAGTTGTGTGACCCCTCTATGTCCCAGCTTAGCTTTTCACTCATCTATTTATTTTTAATTTTTATTTTTAGATTATTGTCATATTGTCAATTTTTATTTTAGATTATTATTGTCAGCTGCCTTCACTTATAAGTGAATTCTACTCTCACAATTAAGAGGGGAAAAAAAAAAAAACACTTTAACTCCACATAAGTAGCCAGAATAGTTTTGTTTATAACTGTTTACTTCAGAGGTTTATACAGCATCACTTTCTAGTAGTTTCTCACCATATTGACAAGATTCATTCATCCTAGCCCATTCTTGCAACAAAGCCTGGGGTATCATCTACAGCTTACCTGATGGCAGAGTCATCACTGGAACGAATTCCATTCAACAGCTCAGTAAAGAGAGGATCCACTTTTACATGGATGACGATAAGTTTACCGAGAGCATCAGCAGCTTTAAGGCGAACAGCGCGGTGAGAGTCTTGCAGCGCTTTAGTGAACGTTGTCTGCAGCTGAGGCAGAAACGGCTTCAGCGCAATTTCAACCTAGATGAAGGAAGGGAAAGCAATGTACTCAAGGGCTGAAAGCAAAGCCTGGAAACAGCATGATCTTTGGACTGCCTTATAATTTCAGAAAAACAGTGGGCACGAGAAAGTAATTATGTGTTAGGTTCTAATTATCTGAAAGCAGAATCGGCATTTACTCATAGTTCTTAATTTGAACCTTACCTTGGCTAGTAGAAGACTTAATGTTTCAAGCAGAGCCACCTTGACATTCCAGCTGAACCGATCTCCCAAGATTCTAATAAGTGGTCCGGTAATGCTCACCACGGATGGCTTAAGGGCTTCGGCAGAAGTCAGCTTAATAACTAATCCTAAGGCCTTTGCTGCTTCCTCCTTCTGCTCTGGATTACCAGTTAAAACACCTTCCCTCAGTACCAGGAGTATGGAAGTCACCCCCTGTCACGAGAATTAGATAAGAAAACTTAGCAGCAGAGATGCAAAAACACACATCTTGCTTTTGCTCTTCTTATACAGCAGATGCACAAATTCAGAGACTTTCCCCTCAATTTCCTGTTGGCCTTCGGTTGTCTGCCTGACATCTGTCTCCCCATTTCCCCATTTGCAAAGCTACTTTTATGTGACTTTTACTTCATGCAGCTACACCTTACTAAACCAGTTGCTATGAGAAAAGCGCTAGCTGCTGAGGGAATTTTTAAATCAGAGAAATTTGGCACAGAATTCCAGCATTACTCCTCCACAAAAAAAAAAAAAGACAACAGACCGCGACTATGACTTACATGCATAGCAGAAATGTTAAAAAATCTTGTTACAAAAGCAATCTTCTGTAGGGCAATATGAAAGCAGTGGTAACTTAAGAGAAAGTTTCTCCAACACACAGGAGGTTTGGAATGCCCCCATAATCAGTATTTCTAATAGCAGCAAAGCCATATCAGCCAGTTCCCTGAAAGATGGAACATCATGGCTGTGATGCATCCACCTTTGCACGAGATGTTCATTCTGATCCGTTACCTTCTTAGGTATACAGAATCCTGGCACATGCTCGCCCTTGGCCTCGTTCCCTACAACTCGGATGTCCTTGTGTAGGTCCTCAATAAGAGCAAGCTGGTTTCCAGCATCTAATTTCTGCAGGAGAAAGGGATAAGGCAGGCAAAGATGAAGTAACATCACAAGCAGCTATTCTTGGAGAATTCTTCTCAGATTTGTCAAGAGAAGATGCATTTCCTGCATCCTCCAAAGATCTGCCCATTCACTCACACTGCTGCAGCCAAACGCAACATCTTACACCTCTCAAAACAATCATGCAGCAATCATGTAGTTTCCAATCAAAACAGAGGGTTCACTTCAAGCAGTATTTTTTCAGCTATCCCCACTTCTTCCTTGCCAACTATTATCACTGCAGCCTTTCCAAGCTGCCTCTCACCTTGGTGATAGAATTGAGCGCATCCCAGCTTTCATTCAAAACTACGGGATTGGTATCATTAAACAGTCGCATCAAGCCTGAAACCAAGTTCTTGAGATGACCAGTATAGTCAGCTTTTGTCTTGGAGCAGTAGATGTTCAGCATGACAGCTGCTGCCTGCCTCATTCCGAGCTCAGAACTACGGGTAGCTTCCAAGAGATCTTCAGTTATAATTCTTTGTCCAACATCATCTTCCACAGACAGGATTACAGACTGGCAGTTCGCCATCTCCTAAAAGAGTCCAAATTAACTTTATGTTAACTCTCAAACAGAAAAAAAGAAAAAAAAAGATTTAACTCCATATTTTCCTATGTTAACCTGAGCATTTTCTTTTAGAAAAAGCCTACAGCATAACCCTCTTGCTAGTCTTTTCTCATGGAATAGCTGATCAGATCACTATTAAAAGCTAGATTCTGAATTAAAACCACATTCATAACTCAGTCTCAATATTTACTGAATGACAAGTTTAAGCTTAGTGACCAAACTTTTCTCTAGTGACTTTTGCATCAGTAGCTGCAGAAAGACTGCCCAAGCTTTCCATAAAATGAGTCCAGCTCAGTCTCCTATATCTTACTGCAGACTCAGCCCTCAGACTGTGGGCCTCATCAAACAACAACTTTTTTTTTTTTTTTATTTAGGTATTTTTGTGCTGTGTATCATAATACTAATTACAAGTACGAGCTGCAGATACATTAGAGATCTCCGGGCAGGCTTTGGGCCGAGCCAAGAGCCATCTGCAGCAGATGAACAGTAAGACTCTTATCACTAACATTACTAATTCACCAAGTTGAGCAGATGTCTACAAGCAACCACAGCTCCAGGATCTGACATAGAACTCTGGACTCCCAAATACTAGCTGTTTCTGAGAGCAGTACAGAAGGAGGACTAAATGCTAAACAGATTTCTTTCCTCTCTCTTTGGCTCTTAATCTCACAGACTTCTACACAAAGAATAAATACAAAGTGAACTAGACACTTTGGCAGCATTACAGAAATGGAAATATACTGAGAAGCGTATGACTTGAGGCCAAATAGATATTTGTATGGATATGAATAATTTGGAAAAACACATTTTTGAACTCACAATATACCACGAGCCAAAAAGGCAGCTTAAAGACGATAAGGGACTGAATTAAAACATGTAATCTGTGAAGCCAGAAAATGTGGATTCTGTGCTGCAAAGTAAACCCGAAGCGCTACCTTCAAGCAACTGGTCAAAAAAGGGAGCTGAGCTGTGTTACTTGCCAATTGCTCTTCACTGGTCTCCAGCTTCTCTTTCAGTGCAGACATCATAGCAGGTAGGATGACACTCAAGTGCCGGGTCAGAGCGTCCCCTGCCACTGATGAGAGGAAAGCTAGCACACGGGTGTTCACAGGAGGAGTAGTCAGCTGCAGAAATCAAAGACACAAACAGAGTTTTGTTTTTTTTTTTTTTTCAGAAAATGAAAGACTCCTAAGAATGAACACATCACAATCCAAATGACAGTGTTTCTGGCATAAAGTCAGAGAAAATTTCAAAGTATGCTCTTCCTTCTGGCATATCAATCCAAACAATACAGGTAGCAAACAGAGGGGGGAAATGCATCATCCTGAAGTTTTAGGTTTGTTTCCAGTTGTACCTTTGGCACCAAGTAAGGCAGCACCACACGGCTCTTGACAGCCATAACTTGTTTAAGACCATCCACAGCAAAGTCAGCTGTCTCTTTGTTATCCTATAGGGAAAAGGATATAGTAGTAAACCTTCTTGAATGCTCATTCGTGACACACCAAATTAAACAGTTTTTCAAGTGAGTTTACTGCATGATCACATCCACAAGCATTGGTTAAGTCCTCCTACCTATAAATGCTCTTATACCATAGAGCAAAACTTAAACCAAGCTCTTTTGCTACATGAGAAAGATTTTCTGTATCAGGTATCATGACCAAGCAGCTTCTGCAGGTGACAATTCTCTAGCAGAGATAGACATAGCAATTCAGTTCAATGCTTTAGCCACAAGACCTTCCCTGCTTGTAGCCAGGATGACCCTATGGAGGAGATAAAACAGAGTTGCCATTGCCCTGAAGTTCTGCCACTACAAGCCTGCTTCTCCTTTAAACACCAGTATTTCAAAACCTGTCCCATGACATCTTTTATCAAGCTGTTGACTAATATTTGAGTAATGCTTACCAGCTGCTTCAATAAAAATGGCAGGATGTCTTCAAGAGCCTGATGTCCAATTGTTGAGTGCAACTGTTCAAAAGTTTTAGCTGCAGCCTCCCTGACTTCTTCCAGAGGGTCACACAGTGCTTTTCTCACTGTAGGAACTAAGGACTCAGAGAAAAACAGTACCTAAAAAAAAGCAGAGATAAAATTGCAGAATATTTGAACAACAAGAGTTAAAGCATATATATATCTCGGTAAAATACCTAAAAGCTCAGAATTTTCATGACTGAAACTAAGTTGCTGTTTGCTTGAAATATACTAGTGGAGGAAAAGAAGGTTTAATCAAAGATTTGTAGTGTTCTGAAGTCGCCTGGAATACATTTTCAATGATTAACTAGAGGATGTTTTCAATTACCATAGCTCATAATTTCAAGTCAGATTGTGCAATGGTTTAGTTACTAACATATAAAAATGCATACATTTACCTGAACAACAACTCAACCCTTGAATTAAATTCATAAAATAAATCTAGCACCGCGACTGTACGTTACTCAACTACAACACTGCCGCTTAGAGCATAAAAGGCTACAGAACTGGAGATTTCACTTCTTGGGGTTTGACTTACCGCCTCCCTGCTGGTAGATTTCATTATTTCACTCAAACCAATGCAGACTCCTTGCCTCTCATCACTCTTATCTGACCTCAGTCCCTCTTCCAGGATAGGGATAATTTCTGGAAGGATCTTCTCTCCCAACTTTCGGACAAGGTCTCCCAACGTCCGTGCTGCAACCTGTTCCCAAAGATTCATAATTAACTATTCTCCTGTTTCCTGAAACTTAAAAGTTGAACTTTGAACGAATGTTATATTTGGACCACAAAATTCTGTCCACTGTATAGACTGACTAGTAAAAAAAGGAAATGCTACCATTATGTGCTTTGCATTAAAACAGTTGTACTTCCTTCACAGTTGCCTTAAGTAGAGAGGACTGAGATGTAGTCATGTTCAGAACAGTTAAATTAATGAAAGCTTAGGAGAGGTTTATAAAAGAAATATGCTGTGTTCTTCAGGCATGAGAAGATGGTCACCTTTGGCATCAAGAAGGCATTACTCGATTTCTCACCGTTCGCTTATCCGCGCAAGTACTGGCCAGGAATCTCAGCAGAAGCCCAAAGAGGGTTGGCAAAATTTCACGCAGTGTGCGAGGAGTGTTGGAGACTACGATCTTCCAGACATGCAAGGAGGCCTGACGCACTACAAGCTGCGTGTCAGAGCGGCCCATGTACAGCCCTGCCAGCACCCCATTCCGCCTCTCCACACCAAGAGCATTAATAATAGCCTGAAAAAAAAGTATAATATTTTATTGTCTACTCCTGTAGCTTATTAAAAATATATTTCATTATACTGATATATTATTTTACATATATAATACACACATATATACATACACATGTTAATTCATGTAGGTGTATCCAGCAGGTTTTCCATGCCGATTTTTTTAAAAAAGATATGACAAGAACAGCTTTACCTTGTTTGACTGGGCTGTTCCAAAGTTGTCATCCTCAGAGGCAGTTTCCGTAGTCATTTTTCCAGTAACTCCTGAGATATGGAATAAAAGATCTCCAAGAAGCTGAACTGAGCTAAACCTGGCAAGAGGAGCAAGTCTGGTGTTACAAAACAAGATGGGTAATTTTAAACAGTACCTGTCCAAATGTGGCAGTACCTTGAATACAGATGGGAGAAAAATGCCAGACAAAGAGCTAGTCAGCACTGAAATACTGCATAGGCCAGTATGTAAGATCATGCTGCCTACATGACTGAGAAGCATCACACTAAAAACAAGGAGGGAATTCCAAGCCAGAACGTGGATGAGAGAGTTCTCACATCAGAGCAGTGTATCAAGGAATAGTCTGGACTCTAAAAAGGAAGAAGACCGTCTCTACTGCAAGCATGCACCTTCTGCCAGTATCTATCTCAACCCAAAGGCATGGGATAAATGCACTCATCAGCACTCAACTGACAAAAGCCTTTTAGAACAACTAATTCTTGAGCAACTGCTATGAGCTGTGAGCACTCCACTGCACATCTCCACACACAGAAGAACATTAACCTAATCAGCATTTTGGAAAATGAGAAACAATATATGAGGGCTAAATACTCTCACAGCAACTGCCTTGAAAGTGCTTTTTAGAATCACTACTAGACCAACAAGCACAAAGCAACATGTTCTCTTTTGCTTCACAGGTGCATTTGCTTGAAGAGCAACTCAGAGTCCAAATCCCTCTGGATTTCCCAACATGAAAGAGATATATCCATGGATTACAGGCTTATCACTTACCTGATCCTCCACAAGTCATCAAACAGGCCCTGCTCAAGCTGTGGCAGCAGCAGTGCAATGGCAGTCTCCGCATACATGCTTATGATTCTCTGGCCAGCACGCAGGGCAGTGTCCCGCACAAACTCATTCTCATCTGCCAGTGCCTGAGCAGACAGAGAAGAGTGTCTGAAAGCTGTGGGGTTTTTTTTCCAGCACAATGTACAAGAGCAGCAGGAAGATAATGAAATGATGTTTTCTCTCTACCCTTTAAATGATCTACAGAGCTATAAATACACAAGAAATTACTAGTGACCCAATCAAGAGTGTGTCAAGTACTTTGGAAGAATAAAAATATATATATATACACACATATTTACATAATATCTATATAGCATTTTAATTGTAAGTTCATATATTTTACATAGTATTTTATCTAGCAATGCTGGATGACTCACTACAAATCTCAGTTATTGGAAATGGTGTTCAATATACTCTAGAAGCTTCTTTGTCTTCTTTAATGAGTAAAACTCTCCAGGTCTCTGATACCTACCTTAAGGATACAGGGGATGATGGGACCAACATAGGGAGTGAACTTGTCTCCAAAGGTAATGGGCAGGTAATTGAACATCATGATGTAACCATCCCTTACATGTGGAGCAATATCCACTTTGCTGGCAGTAGCTACAATCTCTGGCATAAGTTTCTCCAGCTTTTCTACCCCTAAACCAGCCATGACTTCAGCCAGACCTGGAGGAAAAAACAACCACACATATTACAAAGCAACACAAGAAATGGCAGGATAATCTTAACCTAATAGGAGCTCAGTATTCAGAGACATCCTCACCCTGAGCAGCACCAGATCGATCCACTGAGCTCTGTTCATATGTTAGTGTCTCCATCAGCCATGGCAACAAGTCCTCAAAGCATGACTCTCCCATGCCCTTCACCATGGCTCCCAGCGCCTTTGCAGACACCGTTCGCACCTAAAAGAGAAGAAGATTTGCAAAATATCCAGTTAAAGTTGAGACAGAGACATATCAGCCTGATCACAGAGCTGCAGAAGTCTAAACAACTGCACTAAAAGACAAACTGTGTATCCACAGACTTACTTCAGGCACAGGATCCAACAGAGATGCTTTCAGTCCAGGAGTGACACTAGGCAGGTAAGGAGCCAAATCCTGAAACAAGGAGGATTCCAACAAGTAAGAACTGGATTCCAAATGGAAAAGAAAGCTAAATAACAATCATCATTAACAACCTGAAAGCTTATCCAACTGCTTTCACAGTCCTGCAAATAGTGACACTTAATTGGTCTGTTAAGAGCAGAAAACAGCCAAAGAGCCAAAGTTGTGCACATCACGCAAGACTTCTTGATGCTAAACCACTACTTATCACTTTGTCTGTGGAAAATCCAACACTCCTATCTTTACATGAGGTTTAAATATAGAGGCTATCAGCTCAAAAATTAAACAGATCTTTAGACTACAGTAGAGGTTTTACACACTTTTCAGACAAACCTTGGATCCCTTTGTAAACTACTGATTCATGCCTTTCTGGTAGCAGTTTTGCTTGTTAAGGCATTTCTCATATGGTAAAAAAGAGACAAGCCCTTTTGTGGGGGATAAGTCTGGTAATAACTAGCTGAGCAAAGTACACAGTTGACAGCCTAAAACACCTGAAAAATTTCACTGTCTTTATGACCATTATCTGTTAATTTACATACATCAAGTTATAGAAGCTGTCTGGATTCTAAGGATGTCTATCAACAGCAAAATCCCAGAAACAAATAAATTATCCCTAGCACTTGCTACATAGGCTTCATCACAGTGAATACAGCATACGGTAGTGGGGCTCTCTTGGTGTGTACCTTCTGATCCGTCAGGGAGTACATGTTCCCAATGATCTGGGCGGCCATTTTCCTGGTGTCCGTGGAACGATCCTGAAAAGCTCTCTGGACAATTGGCATGATAAGTGCTAAGGACGGAGCATCGATGAAATGGACAAATTTGGTATCCAGCAGGGTCTGCAGACACTTCTGGGTCTTCCGGGAGGGGTCAGTGAGGGCATCCAAAAGAACTGGAGCAATTGCTGCACATTTTTTTTTTAAGGAAAGAAAAAAAGTTGTACATAAAAATGTATATTAGTGTGGGATGGTATTCTCTCATAGGACTTTTTAGATCCTAAATCAAGCGGTAGCTCAGAACAGAGAAAATTCTAATGATGTTAGCTGATAAATTGGAAAAGGACATTAAAAAGGCCTTGAAGCAGATAGCTGTTGTTGAGCTTTCATGTTGTATAAGTCTAAAAGTAGTTTCACTAGAATTTTAGACTTAACCTTAGACAAAGTGAGCATAAAACTTGTTATTATAAAACACGCTTGTGTCAGGACCCCTCTTGGGCATTAGACATCAACAGTTCTTACCAAGGATTTCTGGATTCCTGATGACAGACCCAATCTGCCTGAGGGCTTGCTGACCTGCTTTCTGCACCTTCACATGGGAATCCGTGAGCACTTCAGTAAGTTTTGGCACAATATTGGGCAAGCAAGAAGAGAGCTGTTTGGGGGCACAGTATGCCATAGCTCCCAGCAGTTCCACTGACCCTGTGCATGAAGTACACAAAAGAAATAGATATCTATCTACAGCAGCACACAGCATTAAAGAGACATAAGACAATGACCACTATTCACCTCAAATCCAAATTCAGTGTGGGCTGACCAGTTAGAGAACACAAGTGGCTGAAGTGCATTAAGCCACTAAAAGCACTTTATTTTTAATATAATGAAAAAGAAGAGGAGAAAAAAAGGAAACCTCCACTTATCTCGATTACTCCTAGATAGATGAGGAGTAACAAGTGTCATTTGAATTTGCGGTGATGAAAAGGAGTTGCTCACATGTGTCAGGAATCACATGTGTAACTCGAATGCTGTAAAGTCCACAATCCCCTTATGAGACAAACTATCGCAGCCATCTGCTAGATGTAAGGAATAAACACAGAAAGTGACAGTGCAAGGAGCTGTGAGCTCTCCATAGTTGTGGGAGTCCCTACCAGCTTTGGTTCTCCAAGATTCTTCTTCTAGTGCTGCGAGAAGTGACGGCAAAACCAGCTTCACTCCATGAGTACTCAAGTTGCTCATCACTGCTTTTGCACAGTCATCTGCAGCCTTGAAGGGGAACAGACGACATTTACAAGCTGCATTACAAAGCATGTTCCTCATTCCTCATTCAAACACTCAATGGGAACAAACCTTTCATATTAAATAGCATCCAAGGCCAATGATACAGCTAGCTAAGTAGCTACAAGCTACCAGCCAATGAAACACGATGCTTTCTGTTACTAAGATCAATTTCTACCAGGCCATATTGCCTAAACCTTCTCAACTTGTGCAGTTAGAAACTGCCTTCACATCTCTGCCATTTCTGCTTTCTCCCAACATTACGTTATCAGAAATTCAGGGCCTCTTACCTCTCGCACATACTGATTTCCATCTCCAAAACAAAGCAGCAAGTGGGGTAGCACATGAACCACGTAAGGCTCAAAGAGCTTCCCTAGCATGTTGCAGAGCATCTCAAAGGCAAACAGAGCCCCTAAAGAAACATAAAGCAGAGTTGGATGGAAATACAACTTCATCTAAAGGGGATGGAAAGAGAAGTTATCATCTGCCAGTTATCTGTGGAGTTTGTCAAAAACCCTCAAATTTCACAGCTGAAAATCTCTTGCTTTGTCACACTCATGAGTAATGCTGTGGGTTTGTGATCTTAGAAAGGACCAGAGGCCCAGCAGCATTAAAAATATCCAACAGTCCTCTGGATCCTAGCTTAGGTATGTAGAAATAAGGACAGAAGTATCTAGCAGCAAAGAAAAAAAAAAGTAAAATAAAATAAAATGAAATACATGGCATCCCAGAAGCAGCAGGAGCCCTCTTAGCAACACCTGCCTGTGAAGATAGAAGGGAGCAAGCCCATCACCTAGAACCAAAAATCCCTCTTCCAACACAGAGCAAATGGAAGAGTTTTAACATGCTATAATTATCAATGGTTTCAACTGAGACAGTCCCCATTTCCCTCCCTACAAACAGGAGTAAAGGAAATACAGGAAACCAAACCAAGCAGTTCACGTATCATTTGATCTAACCACACTGGTAGAAGACATAAGAGAGATGTAAAGTATTTGGAGGGAGAAACTCTTGTCCCTCACCCTCTCGCCGACGGAAGTTCTTCTTGTCCTGGATAGCATCAGTCAAAGTGGTCATCATCTCCTGCTGTTTGAGGGACAGGATGCCGAGGCCTTTCACCAGGCCTGCCAGCCCATACGCGGCACCTTTGCGCTCAGCATATTTATCGGATTCCAAAAGCAGCTGCATTAGCTTCTGAATCATTCCTCCTGCATCCTCCTTAATTGCAGGCACCAGTGGTGGTAGGCAGCTTGCCACTGATTCTTGAACCTGTGAAACAATCCACTAGCTGTCAGATCACAGAATATTAGTTACCAATGTGGGACTGCAACCACAATGCCAACTTTCTGTCACTACAGCAATTTTCCAATAACCCTAAAAACATCACAGCACTAGCCTGCCCCTGCACGGAACATGAAGACCTCCCTAAGAAGTGACTCACCTGCTGAGATGGTGTGGACAAGGCTGCTATCAGTTTGCCAACAATTGGTTTCACTTTAGGGTCACTCTTGTCCAGATGTTTTGCCAGTGAACCCATCAGAATGACCACGCTCTGTCTGACAGCATCATAACTGGCATCATTAGGAGCATCTTTCAGGAATTCTTCGAACACTGGCAAGAGAGAGTTAACACTGTCCTGAAAAACAAAATCACAGAACTTGCCACTAGTGTCCACTCAGTATGAGATTTGCTATGCTCAGTGGACTTGTTTGTTCTTCTCTGAGCCACAAAACTGAACAATCAATCTGTATTTGCAGTTCATTTAATATGTCACATCGCATAAAACCTTGCGCTATGTACATAGGCGACAACTACTTCCTGCTAGAGAAAAGTTAGCTCTTAAAAATGCGATCCCCAAAACCTGACAGCACAATGTTTTGCCAGAAGCAAGAAAGACTGAATAGTAGGAAAATATTGCAGTTTTCATCATCTATAAGAAGAGGTCAGAAGGGCAGTTTTAAGATATATGGGAGAGTGAAAAGCGCAACAGAAACACTGAGGTTAACAGGAATACAAAGGGCTTTCCAGAAGAAGGAACTGTCACACAGAAGGAAACCAGAAGCTGAGCAGTCTACAGCCCTGCATCTCTCTCACGGATACAGAAGGTCTAGCGGTGAGGAATAAAGATGGTCTTCAATTATCTGAAGGACTCTAGTTGGACTGCAGTTTATTTAAACCAATGATCAGTAAGTTTTCCCATTTTGCTTCCCCCGAGGCCAGGGGAGAATTTCACCTCCCCAGGAGGAAAATTTATAGTCTAATTTTACTTTATTACTCTAATTTTACCCCATTTTAATTCCAACTAACTTAATTCAGGGTGTTTTGTTCTGCTAACAAAAAAAAAAAGGAGTGAGAGGGAAGAATCACACTTAGTCTACACTAAAAGAATGACCCTAACCACAAAGAGATCCCTATTAAATGAAAATTTTCAGCTGTTACAAGTAACAGCAATCTCTAAGAAATAAAACTGAGTTACAACACAACGTCTGTATCTTCATTAGAATGCTAGAGAGGCATTCAGACTTACCTTGCCATGAGTGTTGAGTGTTGACAGAGCTGCATCTAACATGCACTTTCTGACCTCAGGATTGCGATCATTCAGGGCATCTGGCACAAAGAACTGGAAAAGGGGCTTCACCTGCGAGCTGTCCAGATGCTGCGAGAGCTTGTTGAGGGCCAAGGCTATGCCACACCTGTAAAGATGGTGAGTTGAGCTTAAGCACTTCTGACAGCACATGCTCAAGGTCACATCTCCTACCATAATACATTCCAGAAAGCAATAGAGATCCACTGTGAAATTAAAGGGCTTCAGAGTGTCAAAGCATCATGCATTTCACTTCACAACTCTGCTGAAGGTTCACAAAAGGACAGCAATCCTTCAGCTATGTAAGGACTTCCATCATGATTAAGCATGGCAGATACTCAGGCCAACACAAGGCCAGACACCAGCATCACTTCATTTACCCCTGAAATACAGCAGCTGTAGAACAGGGCACATCAGCTCTAAACAGATTAGCTTGAGACAGGCAGCAAACAAGATGTCTCCAATTAAACCTCTAGAGAGCATATAAGTAGACAAAAAGTAATTATCCAAACTGAAATTTGTCTACTTCATTAAGATCGGCACTGCTGCTCTTGAAACTATCAGTTGCAGTATCCAGTGTGGTATGACAGAATCAGACAGTCTGGTTCTCATCAGAAGAACAGAGACGATACCCCCCAATGTTTTGATGGAATTGAATGCATTCCAGTTTGGTCTACCCAGGCTGCTTGAGGGGAACAAATATTTTTTACCAGGAGAAACTACAGAACTAGGAGTCAATAAAGCTGCATGCATTTTGTTCCTTGAACGCTCCCTTATTTCTCCAGCACCTGAACTTTGAATAAAAATCTGGAACATCTCATTTGAATGCACAGGAAGTGACGAAATCAATCTCAAGATGACTATACCTTGCTTCCCACTGGTCAGGTGGCGATTCCGATATCACTCGTCCCAGAGCATCTAAAACCGGAGGTGGCCTCTGCAAAGAGGAAAATTTCATCAGAATGCCTTTTCCAAGGACACTCAGAGAGAGAACAGCCATACCAGCAACACCATTTTTTAAATACTGCAGATGTATGATACCTATAGCAGAAGAACACAGTAACAAGTAAGGAGAGTGCTAATTTAGGACCTAAGTTAAGACTTAGGATCTAAGCTAAAGACTTAGATTCCAGTCCCTGCTCTGCCAGTCTTCTTGTATCACACAATGCATAAATCTGAGCTTTGGTTTTCCACCTGCAAAATGGTAGCATTGCTGACTAGATGCTTGAGGACTAATACAGATCATCATAAGAACTCATACACAGCCACAGTGGGCTTGATACATATCCTCATGACAGATGAAAGAAAAACAATGATCAATGTAAGATATAAAACACAGCACAGGCTTGTGACTGCAACCACTCGGGACAAGCAGACTTACATACAGCTTCTCCTGATAAATCTCTGTCAGTTTACTCATGACCTCTGCTGCTTGGTTCTGATATTGAGCTACAGCTCTGGAAAGAGCTTCAGCACCCGCTTGTCGCACAGCTTCTTCATGGTAGATGACATCTTTGATGAGTAGGGAACAGAGATCAGGCTGCAGCTCCAGACCCATGGATTCCCACAACCTGCAGGTGGTGGATCAGTCATCAGCAAAAGAAGCCACTGCTGCAGGCAATATCAGGCTGACCTAAAACTGCCCTTCATCTGCGGGAACAAAGCCCCTGCCACAGAGCTCCACAGGGCAAGCAAAACAGAAGTCCCCTTACGATCTACTCAGCCAGGAAGAGCTCTTACCTCTCTGCCAGCTTCTGAATCTCATCTTCCACATCAAATTTCACTACCCAAAGACGACGCAACAGATTCAATCCATTCTTTTCATCACTGTCTGGTGTTGGCAGAACCATCTGCAGCTCCATCAGTCCCTGGAATGATGGACAGGAGAATCAATGCAAGCATCTTGTTTTCAGTTAAAAAAAAAAAAAAGCTTTAAAACACTTCAAACCTTTGCCAAGGCAAACTTTACATGCTTATAAGTGTCAAAACTCATGATCACTTGTGAAGCATACTACCAGGGTGGCCAAGTTGTCTCAGTTATATGAGTTTTTAACACCACAGAGTGCTAGATCAAGAGCGCTTCTTTGTGTAAGATAAATCCAACACAAATCCTTTAACGATAAAGGTCTGATCATCTGGAGAATTACTGTTCAGTAGCTACTGCTTCCTTCTGCAGACATATTGCCCAAAGAGTAGCATTACAACTGGTCTGGTCTCCATCAGTGTGGAACCAGATTCACCCTGAAAAATTAAGTAATAAGCGCAATCCTGAATAACTCCCACCTACCCTGAGAGCTGCATCTCGAACATTCATGCATGGAGATTGCAGGGCCTGAAGTAAAACATCAATCTCTTCCTGCTCTGCATAAGCACAGCCATCCTCCCCACTGCTGCTGGCGCACAGGGTCATAAGTGCATTGGAAGCCAAAACCTGAAATGCAGTGGGGAAGTATAAGAGATTCCACCGTGACGTCTGCTTCTTGGCACTTGGTCAAACTAAGTGCAGGATGGGCATGGGCACTATTACAAGAAAAGAAACTGACAGAAGTGATGTGGGCTCACGCTGAAAACAAAAACTGACAAGTTGATTTAAGCCCTCTACCTTTTTGTTATTATTAATTTTTCTCTCATCCCGTCTCTCAGGACAAGCTTTGCTACTGGTCACTCAAGGAAGCTATTGCAAATTTTGGAAGGAGGTCTTAAGAAGAGGAAAAGGTCTTAGAAGAGCAAAACAATGTTGCCTGTGGACAACTAAAGAATATGCTTAGTGCAATAAAACTCATAGGAAAAGAGATAATATGCATTTTATACATCCCAAGAAAAGTATCATAAATGTAGAAGACAATTAATAACATATTAACCACCAGGCTCACAAACTTAAACCAGATACTACATTTCCCTAGGTCAAATTATGATAAAATTTCGGCAGAATCATGACTGTGTTATGAAGCTGAGGACTCACCTGTAACCGTGGAGATCCCATTGAAATCACTCTGGTCAGCAAAAGCAGCATATCCCTCCGGGGCAGCAGCTCCGGGCCATTCTGAAAGCAGGGAGAGGGAAGGAGAGAGAAACAAAATCTTTTGCCTTGAAGCTCCAAAGTACCTTGCCTGTGTGTGACACTCCCTACTTTAAAAACAAAACCAAAACTTAAGGCAGGACAGGAAAGTAACACAAAAACAACTGCAGGAAAAAAAATCTTACATTTTAACTCTCAATTGTAACATGAATCTGCTTTGTCCAACTACATACTTATTATCTGAACTAATTTGCCTACATATGCAGGCATATTGGAATCATGATTGGCAACTTGACAATCCAGTATCTCAAGATAAGAAAAGACAAACTATGAAATTCTTTGATCGGAAAGTTAGCACAGTATATCACTTTGGCATTTCCAAAAGCTAAGGGAAAAGCTTACGAATAATGAAGTATCAATTTGTTGATAGGCAGCACTAGTTCTGTGCTGTATACAGACCAAAGGAACCAGCCAAGACATGTTGGGAAACACGTCAGATCCTTGTTACAACCCACTATCATACTGATGTATGCTGGCAAGGTCGGAACAAATCTCTCCAAATTCACTGCCTGGTAACAGGGGCGTAAAGGATAAAAAAAAAAAAAAAAAAAAAAAAAAAAAAAAAAAAAAAAAAAAAACAGAAGAGAAGAGATAGGAAAACTGTAAAACTGTGTAAGTGGTATCTACAAATGTACTGAGTAATAATCTCAACTGCATGACAACTCAACAGCTTATGCTTCTTCTTGAAAAGTTTTGCTTGCTGAAGGCCACAAACATTGATAATCCACACCTTGCTCATCCCTCATCTGCATCACTGTTTAGGGACGCCATCTTCTCCCTACAGCTCTCACTGACCTCATCCACCAGCAAAGACTGGCCCTTTGCCGATGATCTCAGCTGAGCATGGACCAAGAGGACCTGCAGAATCTTGACCAGAAACTCTTCCTGCTCTTCACTGTCATAGGGTGTCTCAGTCAGAACAGTCTTTAGGAGAGGGAAGACTATGGAAAATGCTGGAGCTGATAAGGGGGCAGCACCTGCAAAAAGGAAAAACAAACCTGCGAGTACAGCTGAAATCCTTGCACCTCTGTTTTACAATATTGGCTGGGGTAAAATTTATACTTTGGTAGCTCCTAAGGGACATGGACAAGTTCAGCCTTATTAAAATAAAAAAAAAATCACAATAAGCAACTCAAAGTATTTCTATGTGCCTAGAAACACACAGCACAAGTGACATTGCCTCCCGAGTATTTGGACTGAGCCCCTATAGCCAGCGTTTAGCGTCTTCAAAGCAGCGCACACAGCCTGCCTCATTTTTGCCCCTTATTAGTGGGGGCAAAATTAACAGTGGTTCTGCTAATTCTGGTGGTAGGCTCAAAAAATAAGTGCTAAGAATCTAAATGCACCTCCATCCCTTTGAAAGAACCAGAGCTTTTGGATGCCTGTTGTTAAAGGGTTTGATCCTTCCCTTTCTCAGGCCTTTGCTAAGGAACACAACAAGTATCTTCTGGTTAGTCCAAAGTAAAAACATTGAACAAAATATAAAAGCTATAACAATGAATAAAATGTTCTTTTTGTCTTCAAGCTAAACTGTCAACAATACTTGCTTACAACTCAAGTATATTTATGGTTAGGTACTAAAATTTCTTCTTAAGTGTATGCCCATGGACTCTAGCTAGAGCCATTTTTTCTATATTGTTAAAACTCAGGTACTCCATACCTAAGGAAAACATTCACTTTCAGCATTCTCTCTATGCTGACAGTGTATGCCAGATTTTAAATTTCCAAGATGCAGATGAAGAGCACTGCAGACACAATACTGCAGTATTAGTCAGCTTATGTAGGGCATAGATACTACAAAAGTAGTTCAAGGGAGAAATATTAAATACCAAACACACTGTGAGTTTCTAAGTATTAAAAATGCACAGTTTTGGTGAAAATCCCTCCATCCCACATATAAGATATTTCTCTTTGAACTTAAGGCTCAGTGTCTGTAAACTTTCCAGCCTTTCAAAACTTCAAAAAATAGGAAAAGACATTTGCAAATATAACAGGACTTGCCCTCAAAAAAGTCTTACAGAACTTACTTCCTTTCTCTTGCAGTGAACAAGTGAACAAATTAAAATATTCATTTAAATAAGTACCGTACAAAATCGTGAAGGGAAAGGAGTGAAAATAATTCTTTCTAATTCTTTCTTTATAATTTTTCATAACTTCGGGGAAATGAGCTTTAAAAAGGATTTGAATGTTAACAAATGTGCAATTACTATGAAAAATAAATTATAATGGAGACATGGAATCATCACCAAAATGTTCAACACTGAAGTGGTGCTCAGCATGGCCAATTGCTACTACTCAACTGTGAAGAATACAGGTATACTTGTGCCACAATCAGAAATGCACCTGGAGACAACAGAAAGGTATGGAAAGAACTGAATTGCTGGGATAATAGACCACATGGAATCCTAAATTTCCTTTCAAAAAATTATAAACCATCTGCCACAGCACTTTTTAACTAAGTTAGCTGATAAACAAATCTGGACACCTATCGCCACAGTACCTCACACACTTTGAGTCAACCTAAGCCACCCCTGGCATCAGGGCAGATCCTTCTATACTATTCTGTTCTTTGTGGTGGCAGCCCATTTTTTGAAGCAGATCCAGAAGAGATCCAGATTAAAACAAAACCAGTGAACTGGGGGGGGAGAAAGGGGGGAGAAAAGAAAAAAAAAGTTCAATTTTAACCCAGATCATGTTCTTGCATTTTAAAAATGCCCTAGTGTTACAGAGTGGGAAAGAACTGCTGATTCTGCAGCTATGTTAGAATAAAATATTAATGAACTGCAGCATTGGATACCAAACAAGTAGAGGCCATGGGCACTTCACTGCTGAGATCACAGATAAGAAGTAATTATTTTGTCTCACCACTCAGTGTCACTGAATCACTCATGCTAAGCGGTAGTGAAAGGTAAGAACTGTCTTCAGCAAAAATGAACTTTAACTTCATTACTGTTATTTCTGTGTATCATTTAAAGAAAAAAAAATATTTCCAAACTTACAGTACTTGCAACATAATCTCCACTACTGCTACTGCAAAAGAAAGCTTAATGAGGAAGTTGAGAGGTAAGTGGAGGGAATAAAACCCACAGTGTTTTTTACCTGGCTCTCCCTTGCCTGTCCGGCTAGGGATTGTGTGGGCATGCAGCAAACTAACAACTCTGTTAATTGCAGTAGGCAGCTCTTCTTGGCACCAGGATTCATCTAATTCACATTCTGGTTTTATCAGGCGCAAGGTCACATGGCTTACTAAAGTACCTATCATGAGAGAATAAAGAATCCTTGAGGGGACTAACCCAGAAATTTATGGAGAGAAAATAAATCCCCAGAAATACAGATGAAAGCATCCTAAGAGAGCTCTGGGACATCTCCCCTGCAGAGAGGCAGGGGAGAAAGCACAGCACTGAGGCTCATAGGAAACATCTTCATCCCCAAGTTATAATATCTGCTAAATGAATACTATTCTGTTTGCATCTCCAATGAGAAGCAACCTGTTGCAAAACAAGAAACCTTATCAGGAAATTTCAATGCTTCCAAGCTTCTCTAAGGACCTTAACCCCATCATGGGCATGAATGCAGCCCATCAAGCAAGGACTTCCCTCTTGCTGGAGGAGGAAGCAACTGTAGCCATGACACTACAGCATGGACTGAGCAGAGTAAGCCAGCTGAGGGGCTTACAACCCACTGAAGTTTTCAGTTCCCACGCCACTTTGCAGTCACCATTATCATCACTTGTAGCAGCTGATTCCAAGTCAACCTGGGCCAGCCAGTCCTCAGGACTGACAGATCTTTACTCAACAAGCACCCACACCCTCCCAGCTCTCCACAGGAGAGACAGTCCTGTTGTGATCAGCCTCCACTGAGAACCCGTCAAAACGAGAGAACAAGGATTTTTGACATAAAAAAGACACTCTATCCTTGAATAGCAATCACCAACACCAACCAAAGGTTTTCAGTCGAGCAGGCATAACGCAGGAAGCTAAGGAAAGAAAAGGATCCTTAATCCTTGGAGCAGCCAGTGGGGATCTTAGAAGTGGCAAGAAGGAACCGACGAGACCCGGGATGTACTGAGTTAGACCAGGAGGCTTTCTCTTTATAACAGTGTCCAGGATGCCTAAAGCTGTTTCCAGTTCATTATCGAGCTGCAACAGAAACAGTTCCAAGGGTTAACACAAGGTAGGAGGGAAACAGAATTGTTTAAAGATGACTTCTGATGAAAGAAACAGATCACTCTGTTATTCCGATTCCTTTTTGTCAAAATTACTTGTTCATGATAGTTGCACAGTTGGCAAAGATGGTCCTCAAAAATTTACCTCCTTTAGCCGTTTCCTGATCTGAGACTCCTTTTCCAACTGTGCATGCATCAGTTCCTTCTGCTTGCTAGTCAGTTGTACCTCATCCTTTATTCCCTTCTTCTTCTTTATCTCCTGCAAGAGAGAGCCACAGACATCATTAGCTCGGAATTATTAAGATCATATGACATAATAAAATAGGTGAGATATTCCAGTGCCAGAAACATCAGTACTAGCTTTCTTGTTCCCACCAACTCACCTCCTTCAGCTCCAGCTCAATGATCTGTTCTTTGAAAGAATAAGCTTTATTCTCCCTCTTCATATTAGTCTTTTTCATACTATCCTGTTGAGCACTGAGAAAGAAAAGTAGAGGAAGAATCAGCACTACGCTGGACTAAGATCCAGAAATACAAACCTAGGATCCAGACAGCTTCTGACAAACCCAGATCCCTACTGGCTGCAAGTCCACAGGAATCAACCCCCAGGTTCAGGGACCTGGGTAAGAAATTACAGTCTTACCTCTGTATTATTGACTTGTCATACAGTTCTCCCTCTGGAGTCTTCATGATGGCATATTCCTCTCGAGTAACCTGGCAGAGAGCTGGATTCTGCAGAGATGCTGAGATGGTGCTGATGAGCTGTGGGAGCACTCTGCCAGGTGATAGTAGAGAGAGAGATCCTACTGCATTCATGGAGGACTAGCAAGAAAACACAGGAGAAAAAAAACACCGTGATTAGTATTCCTTATAGTCGTCTCAAAAAGCATGCCCTAGTCGGGCAATTCTTTGAAAGCATTAACTTTCTCATAATGAGCGTCATAAACCCTTGTCCAATGGGCACCAAAATTTTACCTATAACTCTAGTCAACTACTGGTATACATTCTTCTCCTCTCAAACCCCAGCTGCTTTCCTTCAGAGATGTTCTCTTCGAACCTGTGCTTTTCCCACTCTTCCAGACAGATCTCATTCCTCATAGACTATTTAATACTTAATCCCCCCTTTCAGGAAAACACTTTTGTTCCAAAGCATCTCAAAATGAACAGAAAAAAAAAAAACAATTTATTACCTGGGTCTCTGAAGTATAAGCAGTGATTTTGGGTAATATGTCATTCAGGTGTTTGGTAACAAAGTCCTTAGGGTCTATCTTCATCTTGATGAGGAGGGCTGGCCAAAGACCAGGCTGTACTGCCACTAGTATGAAGAATAAATGGGCCAAATAAATACAAAGCAGATTGCTAATACAATGAAACAAAAAGTCAAAAATACACTGGTCGGAAGAGTAGTCTTATGCCAACACCTACCTACAGATGGGTGATGGCTCACCAGCAGCATCTCCAGAGCCAGCTTTTCTGTCTCAAAAGAGTCCACGCCCTGTCCTGCCACAGTGGAGATGACACAGAGTGCTTCATGGAGAACACGAGGAGGGATATATGCTTTCCCCAGCTCAGACATCTCTCCTGACTCTGTCACCAGGAGCTCATGAGGCAAAACCTGAGTATGGACAACTTGCCATTAACAAATCACAGCACATGTTCCTGAGCAAACCTTACTACTGAGGATATTTCCTTACAGTAACACTGTACCAATTGCCAACAATCAACTCCCTCTGAGAGTAGTAAGAACCTGAAGTTTTCAGAGGAAAGAAGGGATAACAATAGAAAAGAAACACATAGACGGTAGTGACAGAAAGGCCGAAAACGGACGACAACACTAGATTTGGCCAGCAGTTGTAAACTAAAACCAAATTGATCATTTTTGGCAAAGAGGATTTTGGAAAAGGTTGAATCACTTGGCTTAAATATTACGTCCAAATTCTACAGGCTATCTTTCTCCAGCATCTTTGCAAAAACTATTTTATTCCGAATGCATTTTTGACATGGGAAGACTGTTTAGAAAGGCTCACCTTTGATATTTAATGCAACTTAATCTGTTCTGCAAGTTGACACGGTGCTCGTTTAGCAGCATGTCCCATAGCAGAGTGGTTATCGTTTCCATTACTTTATATATCTCTCTCTGTTTTTGATACTAGTTGCTATTGAACTATTTCTATCACACATGCTTTAGGTAGACAGCCTAAGCTATTATCCAGGGTGAAAGATCTACAATATCGAGAATTAAGCACTTAGGCTTCCATTGGAGATTAAATTTGGATTAATACAATAGAAGGGCAAAGAAAACTACAGCTTCCTCCTTGAATGATTTGGAATAGTATGGCTTCTGTGCACATAGGAAACACTTAGCAGACTCAAATGTCAGGGACACTGACATAGCAATATGCAACAGTGTAGTAACATGTTGGCTTTCCAGAGGATCACAAAGACAAAAGTTATTTTCTTTGGTTTCGTTTTTTTTTTTTTTTTAATGTTGCACTGTATGTCAATACTAACAGCAAAGCTAAGGAAGGGAGCTGATGTGTAGTCTGTGAGCAACTTTCTAGGCAGGAATTAGGCTTCTTATGAGAACTTACTCATACTCATTACTAGGCTTACCTTATGAGAACTGAGAACTGCTTTCAGCTCCTCCAAGAGCCCATAGGCTAGTTTGTACCCTCCAAGAGAGGACAAAAGTTTCTTAACAGTTTGATGGGCCTGTCTTCGAACATGCCACGCCCGACTCATCAGTACTGCAATGAGGGCACGGTGATATTGCCTGAAAGTAGAGAAATAAACAGGCTTGTTATGGAAGTTAGCTCTACAAACTAACTAGACACAAAAAGACAAGGAGTTCAACAGTTTGTGCAAAGTCCCAGGCCCACCCCTTCCGTGGCCTGCATTAACATTCAGGCGCTGGACACAGATCAGACACAGCGAGTGCATTTTACGTACTGAACTTTACTTTCAGGGAGCCGTTGTGCATGATCCAAAAGGAGACGCTCTGTCAACTGCAATACTGTACACATTACTGGGGAAAGATAAACATTTAAAACAGCATGAGATTTCACACAGAGACTCACTTTTTTTTTAACCTAAGAACGAACAAACAGTAAACAGGACCCACTGAAACAGCTACCAACCTGGGCTTCTACATATTTTTCTATATAGCTAAAGGCAAGTCCAGCTCAGTTCTGGTAAGACCAGAGGTAGCATCATGAACCAATAGAAACATTATTAGCTGGATTCAAACAGGATTTCCTTGACCGGTATGTGTGAACTATTTATATCTTAGTCAACATAGCATCCCAAACTATGAATACTACGTTCAGTTGGCATAAATACTGTTAATTGCAACAGTGCTCAGGAATGTCTTCACTGACAATAAAACATGTATTGGTTTCCTAAAGAGTGCACAATGCTAAGGAATGGTAGCCTTGGTATTTCAGTTTGCACCATCTCTGAGCTTCAGTCCTCATTACGTCTTTTGTTTTATGTTATCAATGTGCATCCCTATCATAAGGGCACCTGAAAACAGAAAGCACCTGAAACATGAGGTGGATTATATCCTGTGTGGAATATAGTACGAGGGACTTCCAATGTTCAAGGAATTGGACAATTTAGGACTGTTACGCACATCAGCTGGATGTTTCTGCTTACACAACCATTAACAACATTCATATCACTTTTACTCTCATCCTCTTCCCAATTTCAGGCTTCCCCCATCCATTAGATTGGTTGCATCAATCTACTGACAAAATGGGAAACCACACAGACTCTTTTTGCCTTCAAAAGCTTTTACAGAATATAAAGATTTGGAGTAATGAATATTTAACAGCTCTATTTCATTAGTGATATATTAATGAACATTAAATGTAGATAACAATTATTCTAGATGCACTTCTGAAAGAGTAGTCCATTCATTTTAATTTAAAATCGGATCCTTCAACGATC